CCCCTCCCCCTCCCTCTCCCCCTCCCTACACTGCTCCTTCGCTACCCTGTAGCAGAACTACGAGAGTGCTGACGATATTCCACTGATTCACCCGAAACGCAGATAGACCGCGTAGCGCCATCTGGCGGTGGCGTTTGCAAGTTAATTTACGACGCTAAACCTGGGGGCCGTTGTCAGAAACAAAATTAGTCTTAACATTAGTCTTAACATTAACCTTTTCTCTTAGACCGTCGACAGAAACGCTGCGAAGTTACCCGAGTGGAAAATCGTAGCAGATTTCCTCATAACAATACGAAACAAAGTGCTGTCGACGGTCTACGAGAGAATGTAAGTGTTAAGACTAATGTTAAGACTAATTTTGTTTTTGACAACGGGCCCTTGATGTTTAGTCTCTGGTGTATGCGCAGAAGAAACTCAGAAACTCAGAAACTCGGAAACTCAGAAACTCGAAAACTCGGAAACTCAAAAAGTCGGATGTCGTTTCAGGTCGATGTATATTGAGATTATATATGATATTTAATAACTAATTTTTTTTAATTAATTTTCACAAATATTAATATTGGTAATGCTAATATTATGTGATGTTCATTAATGCATGTGTGTGCGTGCGTGCATGCGTGTGCGTGCATGTACGTGTGCGTGTAGGTGTATATACTCACTCTCCATCCTTCCTCAGGCAGTGAACCTGTGGTGTGTACAGTATCATGTGTGCGTGCGTGTGTGCGTGTACGTGTATGTACGTGTATGTGTATATACTCACTCTCCATCCTTCCTCAGGCAGTGAACCTGTGGTGTGTACAGTATCATGTGTGCGTGCGTGCGTGCGTGCGTGCGTGCGTGCGTGCGTGTACGTGTATGTACGTGTATGTGTATATATACTCACTCTCCATCCTTCCTCAGGCAGCGAACCTGCGGTGTGTACAGTATTATGCGTGCGTGCGTGCGTGCGTGCGTGCGTGCGTGCGTGCGTGCGTGTACGTGTATGTACGTGTATGTGTATATACTCACTCTCCATCCTTCCTCAGGCAGCGAACCTGCGGTGTGTACAACATCTCCGTCCAATCCTTGATCGGAATCGCCACGACCGAATCCTGCAACGAAGCAAATACGTGACGTCATCATTCTACGCAGTGACATCATCATTATACGCGGTGACGCTATATGCCATGCCGGCCGGTAACAGTAAATTCTGTGGCCGACCGTGGAAAAACGTAATTAACATACGTCGTTAACATGCATCGTTACGGACTCAATTTCGCGCGCGACGCACGCCACTCGTTCACGCTCTACGCCGCGTCGTCGTCATCGCCGCGGTAACGCGTGCACACATGATTGACGCTCTACGCTGCATCGTTGTCGTCGTTGCTGCGGTAACGCGCGCGCGCGGGCAGATGATTGGCGGACTCACGATTGCGGCGTCGATGTCTATGGAACCCTGCAGGGTGAGGCTGATGTAGTCGGTGTCGACAGCGTACACCGCCGCGCGTCCCTCCAGGTCGAGAACGACAGAGCGACACAGCGACCTGACGGACGAACAAACACGGAGAGAGTGATCAGTCGGAGAATCTAAACGTGTCGAGAATCTAATCAACATAACATCCGACCATCCACGAGAAAAAGACTGCGTTACAATGCACACCAGTCGCAAATCTAAACAACACAACAAACAAACACAGAGAGAGCGATCAGTCGGAGCGCCTAAATAACGTAACATCTGGCGAGCGGCAGGTAGCGCCACAATGCACACCCTGTCGAGAATTTAACTGACATAACGTCCGAACATCCACAAGAAAAAAAATGCGCAACAATGCACACCAGTCGCAAATTTAAACAACATTTTAGCATAATCCGGTAGAAACTACGATTAACTGCGATATTTATCTGCGCTTAACGGGTGGCACCACAATGCACACCCTGTCTACAAACTAAGAAAAATACAACATCTGACCATCTACAAGTGACAGATGGCGCCACGTGTGCCGTACCTGTAGTTGCAGTCGTAGAGCAGGGCCTTGCCCTGCTGTGGTCCGCTGGGCGTAGCGACGTCCACGGCTAGTGTGTCCATGCGGCCACGCTCCGTCATGTAGTAGTTGATGAGCAGCAGGTATTCACCAGGAGCGTCCGTCACCAGGTCCAGAAACATGGACGTCTGCACACGCGTGCATGCAGGGGGGAGAGAGAGAGAGAGGAGGGGAGAGAGAGGGGGGAGAGGGAGAGAGATATAGTCACCATATAGTTATGTTCATAGATATAGTTCATGTAAATTATATATTATTCCTATTTATTAAAGCCGCAATATGCGCATCCAAACGCTAATTTCTCCAGTACTAGACTAGCAAATTCTTTGTGTCATGCATAATCACACTACCTTATGACAAAATAAACTCTAGTTCCTCCCATTTCACTGCGCGTTTGCTTAAAACCCACAAGAAAGAGGTGAGAAAACTGGCAATCTGGCGCCAACGCCATGGGAGGAACTAGAGTTTATTTTGTCATAAGGTAGTATGATTATGCATGACACGAAGAATTTGCTAGTCTAGTACTGGAGAAATTGGATGGATGCGCATATTGCAGCTTAATAATGGTTTGATATGGCTTTTACTATAGTTATTATTATATATTTATTTAATTATAATTATTATACATTTATTTATTTATATTATATATTTAATCATTTGTAGGGTCGTAGCTAGCAGGGGAGGGCGCCCGCTACACACCACTGGCGCCCCCTACACACCAGCGGCGCCCCCTACCTGGTTGTTGCTGAGCCAGGCCATGGACGGGGAGTCGAGGGCGGTGAGCACGTGCTCGTCCTCTAGCTGCTGCACGCGCATGCGCTCGTTGTTCACACCCACGTACCCCGTCTCTCCACGGGCACGCGGGTACTGTGCCAGCGGCGGGTAGACGTAGTGAAGGCAGGTGGCGCCGGCAGCAGCATCAAGCGAGCACGGAGCGTAGATGTGCTCCTGTAGCAGCGTCGCCTCGTAGTAGACTTGTGGGAGCAGCACGAAGTAGTCCTGCAGTGATGAGAGAGAGAAAGGAGTTAGAGATTAGAGAGAGAGAGCGAGAGAGCGAGAGAGCGAGAGAGCGAGAGAGCGAGAGAGCGAGAGAGGAGAGAGCGAGAGAGAGAAAGAGCGAGAGAGAGAGAGAGAGAGAGAGAGAGAGAGAGAGAGAGAGAGAGAGAAAGAGAGAGAGAGAGAGAGTGAGAACTAGCAACTTGACCACAGCCCCAGTCCTTGCGCCACACGTCCATGATCGCACTCTAGCATCTAGTGTAAGCCAATCCTCCTCCCCCCCCTCCTTATCCCCCCGCACGTACCAGGTCAGGATGCTTTTTTTTTTTTTTTTTTTTCCTCCCTCCCCTCTCCTCTCCCCTCCTCTCTCTCCCTCCCCTTTCCCCATCTCTCCCTCGCCTGCCCCCGCGCCACTTACAGAACACCGCCGTCCACGAGATCAGCGATGTGTCCCTCCCCCTCTCCTACTCCCCTCCCCTCCTGGCCCGCGCACGTTACCAGGACACGCGCGTCCACGAGGCTCACGGATGTGTCCCTCCCCCTCTCTCTCCCCTCCCCCTGCCCGCACGCCTACCAGGAACACCGCGTCACGCAGGTCAGGATGCGTGTCCCTTCCCCTCTCCTCTCCTCCCTCTGCCCCAGCGCACGTACCAGGAACACGGTCCACGAGCGTCAGGGGATGTGTCCCTCCCCCTCTCCCTCCTCCCCTCCCTCCTGCCCGCCGCACGTACAGCGAAACAGCCGCGCCACTCAGCGTCAGGGATGGTGTCCCTCCCCCTCTCCTCTCCCCTCCCCTCCTGCCCCGCGCACGTACCAGGAACACGGCGTCCACGAGGTCAGGGATGCTAGTGGTGACCGTCCAGCGACCCGGGTCTAGCACGAACGGGTAGTCTGTGCCTCCGACCTTGACCGACGTGAAAGATGGCTGTGTAGAGGGCAGCAGCTCCAACGTGCCCTTCTGTACGGTCGCTACGGAAACAACACAAGAACAACTGACGCGCGGCGAAAACTTTGCAGGCGAACGGCTGTATAGAACGGGGTAGCACCTGTGTCTATTAGGGACATTTGGCAGTTATACAATAAAATCACGCCTAGAGAACAGGCACCTGTCTATAAAGGACACTATGGTCAGATGGTGATTTTCCTGCAGTGGTAGTTATGCAGAGAAATCACTTCTATAGAACAGGCACCTGTTTATAAAGGACACTTTTGGTGTTTCCTTATATACAACCAACATCTATACATTAGACAGAAATCAAGAGAGAGGGGGGGTTGAAACAGACATTGAGACAGACAATGAGACAGAGCAGAACAGACATTGAGACAGACAATGAGACAGAGAGCAGAACAGACATCGAGACAGATGATGAGACAGAGAGCAGAACAGACACCGAGACAGATGATGAGACAGGGAGCAGAACAAACATTGAGACAGATGATGAGACACGGCGAGACGTCGGTACTTACTCGTCTCGTCGTCGTACTCTGACGTGACGATGACCTGTCCGTTGATGGTCTTGCTGCCGCGGTTGACGTAGTGATAGACGATCAGGTACAGGCTGGGCTTGTCTACCTCAATGTCCATCAACACATCCGGCTGTACGAACAATGCAACCATAGAACACCCCAACACAACAAACAATGCAACCATAGAACACCCCAACACAACAAACAATGCAACGAACAACGGAACCACTGAACACACCGTGGCAAGAAACAACGAAACCACTGAACACAGCATGGCAAGAAACAATGGAACACCCCGAGACAAGGAACAATCGAACCATTGAACAAGCTGTGGCAAGGAACAACAGAGCCAATGAACAAGACAATGAAGAACCGATGACGTAGAATAAATAAGCATTCCCTCATTATCCCACTCCTGAATAAATATATATATATATATATATATGTCTGTATATGTATGTATGTATATATATATATATATATATATATATATATATATATATACATACACATACATACATACATTACAGACACATATATAGGTAATAACAACCAAAGCATCCGTGCGTGAATCCCCCGCGCGGACGACTGCCCCACAGCGCCCCCTGGCGAGTGTACCTGCGTCTGTGAGAATATGGCGTATCCGCGCCACGAGTATCCGGGGAAGACGTCGTCGTGGTAGGCAAACCTGACGAGGCTCCCGCTCGGTGTGCGACCGTCCTCGATCTCAAACTGATGCTGGAAGAGCGTGGGGAAGAAGTGGTTCGTGTGCGGGTAGTCGCACGCCCGGCCGGACACACGCGGGCGGCAGAGGCACTGACCCGTGACAGTGTCACAGTGAGCGTTCAGTGCCCCGCCCGCGTCGCACATACAAGCTGCAAGGGGAGAGAGAAACATAGATGTAGCGGTACGTAGCGGAACAGAGGGTAACGTAGCAAAACGCAGTGGTGTAGCAGAATGTAGAGGAATTAACATAGCCTATCACGCCAAAGAACGAGACGTACTTGCCAACAAAAAAATAAACCCGTGCGTGTGTCATCATCTGAAATCTCACGGATATCATCTCTGGATTTACGGTATTAAGAAAGCCGGTCATTTCTTCAATGTAAATTGTTTTCGTAGGATTTCTCGACCAAAACGCACTCCTTAACTACAACATGCAGCCACACGCCGATCACGCTGCCACGCGCCAGGGGACGCGACGCCACGCCACGCGACTCACACTCGCATCCGAACAGGTTGTTTTCGAGCAGCTTGTAGGTTCCGGGCTGGCACTGGTCGCAGCGTCGTGACGTCACGTAGGGCTTGCAGAGACACTGTCCTGTCTCCCCGTCACACGAACTGTAGCCAGACAGCGTGCCAGGCTCCCAGCAGTCGCAGTCTGCAGCACAAACAAACGCGCGAGCAGACGACATTATTACGACAGACATTAATTATTCAACAATATTACGTCAGCAAGGTCGCAGTCTGCAGCACAAACAAACGCGCGAGCAGACAATATTATGTAGTCAAGGTCGCGGCAAGGGTCACCGTTTTTACGGTTTTCGCGCGACTTCCAGCGATTTATTTCACACGATGATGTGTATCGTCGTGTCTATTTAATCGTTATGCGTTATTATATATGTCACTTATTTTAACGTTATAATATTATAGGACGAATTAATTATTGATTATTTTTATTGATGTTTATCCTATTCTATATATATATTATAATTATATATATTTATATAATGTATCTCTATTTTATGAGAATTTATTTAGTATAGACTCACCCTGACAACCTTCTCTGTTATTGTGTTGAAGGTTCCAGAACAAAGACTTGCACTCATCACAGATACGCCCTGTAAGACAACGCCAACAATGATCAGTCACAACACGCTCTCCCACACGATGGCGCCACTGACACTACACTCGCACACGATGGCGCCACTGATGCCACGCTCACACACAATGGCGCCACTGACACTATACTCCCACACGATGGTGCCACTGATATTATACTCCCACACGATGGCGCCACTGACACCGCGACGTAACTATGCGCGCACGGTCGGCGTCCACCGGCGTCGTTGCCATGCCTACCTGTCACTCGTTCCTTGCACTCGCACAGTTGTCCCTCGGCGACGGTGTCACATCCGCCGAACGAATCTGACACGCCGGCCGGATGACAGTTACACGCTGCAACGACAATATGTCACGCGTCAATGTTAGACAGCATTGAACACACAGCAGAACAACAGAACATCAGAATAGCAGAACATCAGAACAACATAATAGCAGAACAACACAACATCAGAACATCAGAATAGCAATAGAATGCAGTGACTTCACCAGAACACAGCCTATCTCTCACTGTGAGGAAAGAGTGAGAAAATCAGTGATTCTCCTTTCTCCCTCCACTAATGCACACGAGAAGGAATCGTGATAAAGAGAGAAGGTGGAATAATGGAAGTGTATAATACGTTGTAATGACTTTAGGAGTACTATATATCATATCTCTCTTGCGTTTACTATCTGCAGATTCCAACTCGCAGTGGTTCCGCATGGAGTGTAGATATGGAGTGAATCTATGGTGTGTGTGTGTGTGTGTGCGTGCGTGCGTGCGTGTATGCGTATGTGTGTGTGCGCACGTGCGTGCGTGTGTGCGTGTCTGCGTGCGTGCGTGCGTGTGGGAGGTTACTCACACTCGCAGAGCGGGTAGTTGTAGTGAGCGTGCGTGCGTGCGTGCGCGCACGTGTGTGTGTGTGTGTGTGTGTATGTGTGTGTGTGCGCGTGTGTGTGTGTGTGTTACTCACCCTCGCACAGCGGGTAGTTGTAGAAGTTCTCTCGGCAGCGGTCGCAGTGTAGACCCTCGAAGTTACCGCGGCAGATGCACTGTCCCTGGTCGTTACACGAGGCACCATGGGCTCCCAGCAGGTCGCAATCACACGCTGCAAGCACGCGAGCGGTCACACATGTTACACAGTAGTCACGCGCTACAAGCATGCAAGGACGCATGGGTAGTGTAGGCACACGATGTGATGGCAAACAATGTTCAAGCAGTAAAGTAGATACTGTATTTATAAATATATATATACACTCTCCTTCCCTCAGCTTCCCAACCCCCATACACCCCCCTATTCCCTCACTTTCTCCTTTCCTCCTCGCCCCTACGCTCCTGTATCATCCACTGCCCTTCTGCCTCTCCTCTCCTCTCTGTCCCCTCCCCCTCCCTTTCCCTATCCTCGCTCCTCCGCTACCGACTCCGCAGCGACAGCAAGAGGCAGAACAACTTACGCAAGCAATCGGGGTAGCTGTAAAACCCGGATGCGCACAGGCCGCACTTGGGTCCGGAGAAGTTGGGCTTGCATCGGCACTGTCCCGTCACGGCACACGCGTCTCCCTCCGAGCCGACCGGGTCACACGTGCACTCTAAAACATGCGTCGAAGGTCAACGCCAAGGTCATGGGGGTCAAAGGTCGCGTGCGTGCGTGGGGTAGAATGAATGTGACACACGCACATGAGTCATCCATAAGTAACGAGTGAAAAAGGGTAGTTGTTCTGTGAATCCGACTTTATATTTAACACCTCTGGCGTCGTACGCACGTCGTACAAGCAAGAATTATGCACAAGAAAAAAATAATCACAAATCTCGTTTAGTGTAAGTTTTTCTCAGCAGATGGCAGCAGGGTAGGATCACCTTGGCAATCGGGAAAGCCGTAGAATCCGGCTGCGCAGCGACCGCAGTTGGCGCTGTTGAATCCGTCCAGACAGAGACACCGTCCAGTCTCATCATTGCATATCTCAGGCGTCACTCCCGCTAGGTCACACTGACAGTCTGCAAGCAACATTATTAAGAACATTAATATTGCACATCGTGCGAATTATTAATTAATAAAATTAACACTCATTAACATGAAACACATTCATCTGTTGCGCAATTTCTACAAACTCGTTGCTTGATCGTGAGGAATTGTTATCTTGGATTCAAGTCAATTCAATTTCAATTTATTTGCATTTTAAAAAATATTACAAACTAACGTTGATCAAACCGACAAATCAATACTCTGCGTATAATTTTTTTTGACTTCACTCTTAACCAGAGAGAAAGAGAGAAAGTTCCAGTGCAGAAAAAAAATAATAAAACAACATCAAAGTATAACCGGATCCTTGCAAGACAAGATGTGACAAAAGAAATGATTAGCATTTGCTAAACGAGTTAGTAATGAGAACAGGACACATGGTACAGTGCCATTCAGTGGAAACGGTATGTTAATATCATGTATAACTTACCGCAAACTCACATGCCACTGCTGCATGAAATGTAAGTGAATAGATATATATAATAATATCTATATATATATATATATATATATATATACCGTATATGTGAGTATATATTTATGTAAATGAGCAGGGTGTGTTCGCGTGAACGCCTTGCCGACAAGTTTCGCCCCTGCAGAGATACGCACCACGGTGCATTACCAGATGTATATATATATATATATATATATTATCATATCTGGCAGAATAAGGCAGTGTGCGGTACAGTGAACGTACAGTATACTTGTTTCCCCCAACGCCCAAAAACGGGTCGTACGTTTGCGATTGAGATAAAAGCAGCGAATCTGGCAAGCAAGCGTTACAAAGTATCACAAATAGAATAGGAAGTGAACCCCAGCTAGATTATAACGACGAAATAATATGCTCGTACGATATATTTATTGGTAGCAAGTCTTTTTTATATCACGATTCACTACCAAGGCATTTATACAATACATTCAGACATTTATATAGACGTATAGGTTTTAATAAGCAAGATTAAAATCTCGAAACCGGGAGAGTTCGACTAGTGTGCTGTGTGCATAATAGTGACTAGTATTAAATGGATCAGCCACTGTGTATAGAACCTGGCGATTATATAAGTTATTAATTAAGCTCTATAGTGATTGCATTCATCAGTTATGCATACACTCCCTAGCCTGTAAACACTCACATACACGTAACAAAATAACATCTACAAATAAAATATCAGGAGCTAGTGAATATAAAACATTACAGAACATTATTCTCTCCTGCAGATATGCATATCTAGATAACATACAACTCGTAACATGTCACGTGTATTAACCTATATATAAACCTACATGGCGTCATGCTCTAAATGTCATGAAACGCTTGCACGACAATGGACGAATTATTAGGAAGTAACTAGCCGGGTAACCGGCGTTGCTCCTGGAAAAACGCGTAGGAACAACTTTTAAAGCAACTTCTGGGGCGCCATATATATTTACTTGATTGTAAGAATGGAGTCGTAACTGAGAAACAAAATATGAAGTTATTAGGAAGTAGTGGTATATATACATATATATATATATAGAGATATATAGATAGCTGGATAGATATAGATAGATAGATAGATAGATAGATAGATATATATGCAATCCTTGTGAGAAGTTTGTCCTTGGGATCATCTAGCCGTGATCTGAATAGATCTGTCATTGATTGCAGTAATTGCTGCTGCCTCCACTCCTACTGTGTGCGTCTTCTTCAGCTGTCCCTGGGTAGCTGTCCCTGGGTAGCTGTCCGGAGCGTAGGCGCCCGACTATAACCTGGGTAGCTGTCCGGAGCGTAGGCGCCCGACTATAACCTGGGTAGCTGTGCAAGCATAGGCGCCCGACTATAACCTGGGTAGCTGTCCGGAGCGTAGGCGCCTGACTATGGCCTGTAGCACCTGTACTCGTCGATGCAACGCCGCTATCGTCCTATCTGCCTCCTCCTCCCTCTCCCTCCCCTTCTCCTCTCTCCCCCTCGCCCTCTCCTCTCTCATCCTCGCCTCCTCCTCCCTCTCCCTCGTCCTGCGGAGCTCCTCTCTGCACGCCGCTCCCTCCTCAGTGGCGCCATCTAGCTGCAACTGCAACGTCACGATCATGGCCGTTTGCTCGCGACGACTATAGGTGGCGTTGGCGAGCCGCGCCTCCAATCCCTCGACGCGCGCGGCGAGCGTCTGCCGAACGTCGGTGGCGCCATCTAGCTCTCGCTCACACTGCGCGATCTGTTGTCGCTGCGTGCCGGTGGCGCCCTCACGCGTCAGCAGCAGCTCGGTGCGAGCGGCGTCGAGCGTCGTGCGAGCAAACGCGGTGGCGCCCTCTGCCTGCGCAAGCCGCTGCGTCAGCGCGGAGATCTCGAGGTTTTGAAGTTCGATCATCGTCTCACAGTCGCTCAGCGCGTATCGAAGATCCTCCGCCTCCGATGCAACACCATCGCACGCTGCGTCATCCTGCAGCATGTCACCAGCAGGGGGCGCTACGCCACCATCAGTGTAGTTCCGAGATGGGTCACCAGTAGGGGGCGCTTTGCTGTCAATGCCTGAAGGTACCTCCTCGCCAGACGCATTGGAGGCGCCATCTAGTAGCAGATCGTTCTCATCAGAGGCGCCACCTAACAGCAGCAGACTCTCGTTGGAGACACCACGTAGCAGCTGGCTGTTATCAGAGGCGCCACCTGGTAGCCAGCTCTCGTCAGAGGCGCCACCTAGCAGCAGTAGGCTCTCATCGGAGGCGCCACCTAGCAGTTGGCGGCAGTAGAGTTCTTCTGGCGTCACGGGTCGCACTGAAAAAGTGTGGAAGTAGCTGACCGTCCAGCTTACCTCCCCCCACCCTATGTGTGAGCAGAAGAGGAGGAGGAAAGAGGAAGAGGAGGAGGAGGAGGAGGAGGAAGAAAAGGAGGACGAGGGAGGAGGAAGCGTACATACAGTACTTACATTCACAGTGTGGGTAGTTCCAGGTTCCCTCCATATGCCCCGTGTGAGAGCAGAGGAGGAGGAGGAGGAGGAGGAGGAGGAGGAGGAGGAGGAGAAAGACGAGGGAGGAGCACGAGCGTAGTGTACTTACATTCACAGTGTGGGTAGTTCCAGGTTCCCTCCCTATGCCCCGTGTGAGAGCAGAGGAGGATGAGGAGAAGGAGGAGGAGAAGGAGGAGGAGAAGGACGAGGGAGGAGCACGAGCGTAGTGTACTTACATTCACAGTGTGGGTAGTTCCAGGTTCCCTCCCTATGCTCCGTGTGAAAGCAGAGGAGGAGGAGGAGAACGAGGAGGAGAAGGAGGAGGAGAAGGACGAGGGAGGAGCACGAGCGTAGTGTACTTACATTCACAGTGTGGGTAGTTCCAGGTTCCCTCGCGGCAGCGGTCGCACGCGCGGTCGGTGAACACGCCACTGCACTTACACTGTCCGCTCACCTCATCACAGATCTCATCCAGGGAGCCGTACTGCGAGCAGTTACACGCTGAAAACATTCGATGCATCATCAATAATCATAATTAATCATCCTCATTATTGTTAATCAGTATTAATAAGTATTACTGAGTATTATTGATCAGCCATAAGTACATACGTATTATTGAGTAACTCAATATAATTCGTATATAATTAATAATTAATATTCTTAGTTAATTAATTAATTAAGAGCATTATTTGCCCTTAATTGCATGCTGCAAGGCACGACTAACGACAAGGGGGATGGTGGCACCGCCCTGATGAAAGCCGTACTGGCACACCAGATAAACGCAGCAAACAGTAAGATGTATAATTTATAGTTAACTTAGTATCCATAACCGATAATATTATCAATCGTTCACGAGTATTGATACGTATAACTAATCAAAGCCTTCTATCAACCGGCGCCCTCTATACTCGAAACTCACGCGTGCAGTGCGGGAAATCAAAGAATCCCTGGGCGCAGCGGTCACAGGTGGCGCCGCCGTAGTTGTAGCGGCAGGGGCATTGTCCTTGTTCAGGGTAGCAGACCGCGTCGATGGTGCCGTTGGCGTAGCAGTCGCACGGGTAGCAGTGTGGTGGCGCGTAGTAACCATATGCACACTCATCACAGTTCACACCGGCAAAGTTGTCGCGACACTCACACTGACCCGTCACGTCGGAACATGCGCCCGTGGACACGCGCGGGTCGCAGCGACAACCTGCAAGATATCATCATCATCATCATCATCATCATCATCATCATCATTATCATCATCATCATTGTCATCATCATCATCATTGTCATCATAATCATCATCATCATCATCATTGTCATCATCATCATCATCGTCGTTACCATCGTGATAATCATCGTCATCGTCGTGATTATAATCGTCGTCACCAGTATCGTCATCATCATTGTCATCATCATCATCATCGTCGTTACCATCGTTATAATCATCGTCATCATCGTGATTATCATCGTCGTCACCAGTATTGTCATCATCATCATCATTGTCATCATCATCATCATCGTCGTTACCATCGTCGTTACCATCGTTATAATCATTGTCATCATCGTGATTATCATCGTCGTCACCAGTATCGTCATCATCATTGCTAGTATTTTCATGCTCATCATTACCATTGTTATTACGATTGTCGACATTATTGACATTGTTATCATCATCATAATCGTAATCATCATCATCTGCATCATCTCTACTCCCTTCAGCCAGAACATGAACTATGGCACAACTATCAATCAATCAATCGTGATCTGAAAGCAGGAATGATAAACTAAGCGCGCGTATAGATGGCGCTGGCATCTAGCTCACGTGTGCATGCGTCCGTCTCGTTCCGCAGCCTGCCTTCGGGTCGGTAGAAACCAGAGATGCACTTCTCACAGTTAATTCCCTCTGTGTAATCCTGCAGGGGGACAAACATCACCGGTGACGTCAATATATATCATAGAGCGGGGGAAGCACTGCTCATAGGTTAACAATAAATCCCATCGAGCGAGGGATGCATTGTTATCACTGGTTATCAATAAATACCATCAAGCGAGGGAAGCAATGTTACCCCAAGTTATCAATAAATCCCATCCAGTGAGGGAAGGAAGCATCACGTGATGCGGCTGCACGCGTATTGATGACGTCACTCACCCTGCAGTTCTGGCAGACGCCTCCACCGATGTATTGTCCGCTGATGTCCAAACTCATGCTCTTTGTGTCAACGTCAGCGTCGTACTCACACTGCTCAGAGTGGCCGTGGCAGTTACAGGCTGCAAGAACACATGCCGTGGTGAGGGGGGCGAGGGTTAGAGGATGGGATGGTGTGTGTGGTGAGGGTGAGGGGGCGGGGGTTAGAGGATGGGATGGTGTGTGTGGTGAGGGTGATGGGGCGGGGTTGGAGGATGGGATGGTGTGTGTGGTGAGGTGAGGTGGGCGGGTTGTGAGGATGGGGATGTGTGTGTGTGGTGAGGGTAAGGGGGGCGGGGCTTAGAGGTGGATAGTGTTGTGTGGTGAGCGGTGAGGGGGAGCAGGGTTAGAGGATGGGATGGGTTGTGTTTAGGGTGGAGGGCCGGGCGCTTGGAGGAATGGGATGGTCGTGTGTGGTGAAGAGGTAAGGGTGGGGCGGGGGTCTAGAGGATCGGGATGGTGTGGTGTGGGTGCAAGGGGCGGGGGTTAGAGGATGGGATGGTGTGTGTTGGTGAGGGTGGGGGGGCTGGAGGTTGAGATGGGATGGGGTGTGTGGTGAGGGTGAGGGGGGGGGGGGGGTTGGAGGATAGGAATGGTGGTGTGTAGGTGAGGGGTGAGGGGGGCGGGGGTTTGGAGGATGGGGATAGTGTGTGTGGTGGGAGGTGTGGGGGCAGGGGTTGGAGGATATGGGATGCGTGTGGTGATAGTGAGGGTGAGGTGGGGCGGCAGGTTAAGACGGATGGAATGGTTGGTCGGTGAGGTATGAGGTGAGGGCGGGCGGTTGGAAGGATGGGATGCCGTGCCGTGTTGTGAGGGTGAGGGGGCAGGGGTTTGGGGATGCGATTGGTTGTGTGCGGTGAGGGGTGAGGGGCGGAGGGTTAGGAGGTATGGGATTGGTGTGTACCACCCACGCACGCGACGCACGCCACCGCACACACACAGCACCACACACACGCACGCACGCCACTCACCCCCTCTCCTTTACACCACACACCACACACACGCACGCACGCACTCACCCCCTCTCCTTTACACCACACACCACACACACGCACGCACGCACTCACCCCCTCTCCTTTACACCACACACCACACACACGCACTTATGCACTCACACCCTCTCCTTTACAACATCTCTCTC